GCTGAGACTGCAAAAATTCAAAATCCCAAGATCATTTCATAGCGTTTCTTACTAGCATTTTCTAGTCTTTGAAATTCCTACAGTAACTGATTGCACAGAAACTTATTTTTACGACTTATGCGAAAGCGCACTTAGCACCTTTTGACCCCTCGTCAAAAAGTCTCTGGCCAGCGAACTCATGGCAAGTTCCATAAAGGTATATTTAATAGCTATGAAAAAGGGGTGGGTGAACTCTTAAGGTTTGAATTGAAATTCCCATTGGTAAATGAAAAATAGTAAAGGCTGAACTTAGAAGTCCAAAAAATTCAATTTAGAAGTTGATGGGTTTTTTTGGATTTGCAATTCTTCAGCTCCGCAAGCTTTGGAAAGATAATCCCTTCTGGATTTAGGTATGGTTATTCACAAATAACTCATATTAGCCAACTCCAACTACATGCCAATCGCTTCTTAGGGTCCTTATTTACCAGCGATTACGTTTACTCGTCTCCTTACCTGGTGAAATGCAACCTTTTGCTCTGAGTAGACTATCTCTTCAAATCAGCGCGCAGACAGCAGTCTACCTTTACCAAGGTTACAAAAAACAGCTGCAATGAATCTGTTTACCTACCTTATCCAAACACTCCAGCCCCGTTTTAGAAAAAAAAAACGTGTCTTGTGAAGACTGAGTACACGAATTGAGAGGAAACTCTACTTTTTTATAAGGTATAAAGTTACTTTGCGAAAAAAAAAATCCATTTTTTTTCCTTCAAAGAGATTCTGTATCTTATGAGAAGCACGTTATAGGCATTAAATAAAGGAAAGGTTTTTACTATCATGTTATGCAAATCAAATCCTTATTTTCGCTTTTTTAAAAGATGGATTCTACCTATGTAGAAATAGACAGCAAGAATAGGTAAAAATTCCAAATATGTGTGTAATTGTGGTATATTCGCAATTTTACTTCGAGAACTTTAACCTTGAAGAATTAATACCCTGACTTTCTTCACTTTTCCATCACTCATCTATTTTCTAGGACTCCTTTTACTTTTTCCTTCATTCCAGGCAAATGCTACAGTTGTGCGTCTGCAAATATGAGGACGGTAAGGCTTTCTTTCCCGTTTCGCTTTTTTATCGCTGATGTTTTCTCATAAGATTTGAAACTTGTAGTTTTAGAAGAAGGATTCTATTGTGTCTTAAAGTGATTCATTATGCTTTTATCAGTTTAGAATTTCATTACAAAAGAACGAGGCCCACCGAATCGTAAGGCAGAACCGCTTACATATGACAATAACTGTAACGAAGATCCATGGATAATAAAGGTATGAATCATTTGATTTCGTAATTTTAGCAACAGTTTTTCTCTTTTTTACATATTTGCACTTCATGTTCTTTTCGTACAAGTAAGTACCGTGGAGTAATTAAGCTTTAAAAACAGATGATTTAATACTTTTTTTGTAATAAGTACTTAATAAGCTAATGTTAGTAGATTAAGCTATAATTTCGATCTCTAGCTCTCTAGATCAAATAGTTGCAAAGGAAGTTGTTGAACTACTTCTCAAACCCTTTTTCTAGCACTCCCTTTTAAGAGCATTTGGAAAAAACCCGTCATACTCCGAAAATTCCAGCTTCTATACTTCTAATGCTTTTGGACCTAATTTTTTCGCCTGAACTCGCCATTCGCA